GCATTCCTGTGTAAGAGGTTTATATTCTCGATCCACATAATTGCAGATCCCTTGGCTACTCCTCCCACGGTAGTAACAAAACCCTCCTCTGTGAGATCTTGTTGCATAATCCACCTGGACTGTGAAGATCAGTGCTTTAGTAAGGGAAAGGAAATTCAGTGGGGGAACCTAAATTCATGGTGTGAATTAGATTACCCCTCACCACTACATTACTTCATGACAGACACAGGCGTAGTCAAGTGTGTGTGTATGCATGTGTGCATCTTTGTGTGTCTGTATATTTTATGTCAAATAAGACAACTTCTGAGGAAACTAACAGACCCATAAAAGGGTACCCTTATGACTGCTGCGTAGCAGCCGCAGACCATCCTACCTGGAAAAGCTTTTGCATGTAGCTTCATTAAAGAATAAAGCACTCAAATGCCAGGTGCAAGAAATGAGTTTGTATTTGCACAACCTCAGCTCTGCCTCCTTGTGTGGATGCGTCTTTAACTGTGTGTGCAGTCTACAATTACATGATGGCTCAGTATTTTTTTCCACAGGATCCCCACCTCATTTAGTGCATGGGCTGGATGAGAGCTAACAGAGAAGGCAGTTGTTCAGCCCTGCTCAGGCAGTTTCTGGCCACTCCTTTATTTAGGGCAGATTTTCCCAAGCCTATGCTGCAGCCAGAATTATTAGTTTCTCATGGTATTCAATCACAACGATATCTCAGATTCCCCTGAATAGTAACAGATTTATTATGTGAGACAGGAAAATATTTTATCTCTGTTTTTAATGTAAGAAAGGAAGGCACAAGCAGAGGACAACTTGTGCCACATATCCATTAATCCTGGATATAAAACCAAACTGCTAAAGCTAAATTATATTTTTAGTACTTTCTTCAGTTAGCACTTTCACTATTTTCTTTTTCTTTTATTTGCCTCTACTTGTGGTTAAACACAAAAAGAAGACAGAAGACACCCTGTATTTACAAAGTATTAGTATCCAAAATGGGTATTTTAAATATGTCATGTTTACAGCAGTAATAAGAGAGCAGATAGAGAATACTGATTAAAATTTACTTTTATAAAATTAGACTATATTCTGAAACTTAATAAAACCTGGGCATGAATTCTAGAATTGACTGGTCTGCATTATTATCTCCATTACATAATTTGTTGTCTCCCAAGTCCCATGTTGACAGCAAGTTTGTTGGCATGGTTATGAGTCGGTCTATGGCTTTTGCCAGAATTAAACCCTGATGTGTATATAGTTTGGGGATATTCCAGGCTGAGACACTCAAACCAGTTCTCAAATCATTTATTTATCAGAAGCCTTTCACTAAAACAGCAGCATAACCCTCCAAGCCCTTCACCTCAACTACATAGCCTGGCTAAGAAACAAGGTAGTAGTGCATCTGGAGGGTCATCCTAAGCAGTTTCCAGCATCCTAGCCACCTGGAAGATATGTCTGTGCCACTCAGGTTAGCCACAGTGCTGTGGAATGCCACCGCAACGTGTCCTAGCCTTGTGCAGAGCAGCAGCGTGGTAACCTCAGCTCCCCTTCTTTGCATGAATAGAGCAAAACTACAATGATCTCACAAAGTCTTTCTTCTTTGTGTTTCATTCTAGCTAGCTGGCTCCTGAACATACATAGAATTTGTTAAATTATCCGCCTCCTTCGAAAGCACTTGCAGAGAGAGGATTAAGCTGTTATTAAATGTACAGAGTTTCTTGCTCAAGGCTTTTTATATTGTGGCCCTTGTTGAAAACAATATGGGAAACTGTATGTTTATTTTCTTTCTTAACACACAGACACGTAAATACTGCTTAAACTTAAAATGTTGACTGTTAGGCAGAAAGGAAGTATGCAAAATGTCAACATGGATGTAAATGAAGTGTGAATTAGATGGATACTAAGGGTTTTAATAAACATTATACAAT